GGGGCAAAGGTAGGTTTACAGTTGTTGGTATGGAAAATGATATAATTATTAATAAATAAGAATACAGGAATAAACTCTGTGTCTCGCATACTCACAACTGTAAACCTACTTTTGCCCCACTCTGTACAATGTAATATGACTCAGCCATAAAAAAAAATTAATGAAATCTTACCATTTGCAACAACACGGATAGACCTAGAGGGTACCATGCTAAGTGAAATAAGTCAGAGAAAGACAAATATATGATTTCCCTTAAATGTGGGATCTGAAAAATAAAATAAACAAATAATCAAAACAGAAACAAACTCATGGATACAGAGAACAAACTGATAATTTCCCAGTGGGAAGGGGTTTGGTGGGCTGGGTGAAAAATGTGAATGGATTAATAAGTACAAATTGACAGCTACAAAATAGTCATAGGATGTAAAGTACAGCAAAGGGAATATAGTCAACGATATTGTAATAACTATGTATGGTGCCAGGTGGGTATTAGACTTATGAGGGAGATCACTTTGTAAGTTATATGAAAGTCTAACCACTATGCTGTACACCTGAAACTAGTACAAAATAATATTGAATGTAAACTGTAATTGAAAAATGAAAGTAGAAAAAAATTTAAATAAAACATTAAAAAAAGAAATCAATGTAAATTTTGTATCTCAAATGCAATTTAAGAAGTATTAGTAACAAAAAAATTGCAAATCTCTTAAGTATTAACAGGCAACTTATTGTAAGATATCCTTGGGGCAGTAATAAAGATGGGAATCTCAAGAAAACCCTAAAGCCANCAATTTAAGAAGTATTAGTAGCAAAAAAATTGCAAATCTCTTAAGTATTAACAGGCAACTTATTGTAAGATATCCTTGGGGCAGTAATAAAGATGGGAATCTCAAGAAAACCCTAAAGCCATACACTGTGGCTTCAAGAGATGGAAACAGGGAGAGGACTGGCCGAACCCAACCCAGTGCAACGGAAGGGGGAGGGACACGGCGCAGAGACAGAGCGGGTGACATTCGCGGCCGGGCAGTGAAAACACTCCCCACGCGCTGCCTCTGGTCGCCAGCCATTACCAGCCCCCAGGCAGAGCTTCTGGCCGCGCTCCAGGCCCCTTTCTCAGGACCTGCCTGTTCGGCCTGCCCCAAGGTCACTCCCCCTCACAGGCTGAATCCCTCAACTCTCTCAAGTCTGCTCAACGTCACTTTCTCAGTGTGGCCTACTCTGAGCACCCTGTTTAAAAGCTGCCACCTTCCCAAGTCCTTTTCCCACTTGTGATTTCCCCAGGGGGGTGGGTTCCGTCAGCCTCTCCCGACGCTCAGTTTACATTCCTTCGCATACCTGCCGCTTCTCCTTTAAATTTTGTAGGAAAGGGGCGGAGCAGGGCCGAGGCTCTCCGGTAGGAGGAGCACGTCCGTAGACTCCGTCCCCTTACGTAGCAGGCGGCGGCCCGACCACGCGCGAGACTTTCTACTCCGCACCGGAAGACGCGATTGGGGGCGGAATTAACACGTGATCGTGACGTCAGTGCACCCGCGCCGACTGGCCCGGAGCCTTCGCTACGCGCTGTTCTGGCGTTTGGGGACTTTTTCTCCAGAATTCCTCGGTCTGGCCTCTGACTTAAGGATGTACCACAACAGTAGCCAGAAACGACACTGGACTTTCGCCAGCGAGGAGCAGCTGGCGCGACTGCGGGCCGACGCCAACCGCAAATTCAAATGCAAAGCGGTGGCGAACGGGAAGGTGAGGACTCCGCGGCTGCCGCGCGCTCCTGGCCTCTAAGCTCCTGAAGAGCGGCGG